CTCTCTCTCTCTCTCTCTCTCTCTCTCTCTCTCTCTCTCTCCAAAGTCATCGGTAGGCTACCGGACTCGTGCGAGTTCTGGGATTCGAGCTTCAGCTCGGACCGACGTTGTGTCCTTGGGACCTTTCGGAGATGGACATTGAATTCAGAGGTCCTGCCTCCGAGAGACAAGTGACGGAGAGACAGGTGACGGAGAAAGACCAGGATAATAATATAGTTTTATCTATTTCCTTTTCTTCTTTGTTTTATCTATTTCCTTTTCTTCTTTGTTTTGTTTTTGTTTTTGTTTTTTAGTACCCGAACAAAGAAATTACTGTTAAATTATGATGGCCGATGTATGTTGCTGAGATGATGATGATGATGATGATGATGATGATGATGATGATGATGATGATGATGATGATGATGATGATGATGATGAAATTTTGTAATGAGACATTCATTTGAGAAGGTGTAAAGTAGAGAGGTTGAATCTTGAGTATTTTTCAGTCTGTAAGGGCCTACATATTTTAGTAATGGCTGAATGTAAAACTAAAGATAGTGCTGTATATTATTTTATGAAGAAAAGGGCATATCAAATGAGTTCTTATAGTCAGTTACCAGGTGGCCTGGACCCGATTCAGCGTGAGCCAGGTCATGAGGATAATTATACTCGAACCTGCTGTAACGGCCACCTGTTCAAGACAATCACCTGTACAAACGGCCACTTCCCATTTCCCCTCTCCCGCTTTTTAAATTTATATCATTATAACACTGTCGAATGAGTCAACCTTTCTAAAACAACCACCTTTCTCCTGGACAACGGTTGACATTCTTGGACAATTTCGACTTAAAGAAATCAGTGCTAGTGTATCGATATGCTCTCTTTAAACATAATATATTGTACGTTCGAGGTGAGTTCATTTTGCTGACAAACTGACGGGTGGTTAATTTGTGTGTGAGTGCTCTGTGTGTTCCAATCGACGCCGGATACAGACTGTCCTAGAGATTCTTGGATGTCTGACTAAACGCTTATGGACGGTAAAAAGAATGCAGTACCGGTATATCTGTTATACTTTGAACGATGTCAAAGAAAAGATGAATCTATTTAGGACATATTTTTATAATGCCACAGACAGGATTGCCCTATCAAATATGGTACTAGAGACTAAAAGGAAAAAGATTAAAAGGTAGACTGCCTGGGGGTTATAGAAGCACAATCATGGATGAGGCAACCACCGAGGGCCCAGATGTGCCAAGGCCAGAGGAAGTGGCTAGGGGCAGATAACTGATAAGTGTGGCGTCAGCTGTTCTCTGTCTTGTATGCCGACAGGGCGAGACTAAGTAAGGAAAGAACACCTACATAGCTAATGAAGTATTGTATGAGCTTAATGTGCATATGCATAGTGAAGAAAAACTTATTGAAAGTAGCACTGATTCTGTTGACATATGCAAGTGGAAATAATATGAGAATCTCGTTCAGATGATAGATGGAGGAACGAAATTGAAAACCTGTTTCCTGAGTCATGTGGGTGCGGTTGTGGTCAATGAGGACAAACAGCGAAAATGGTTCAGAAGGGGGGGGGGACTGTTCAGCAGTTGATTAAGAGAAATGCCACAGAAATATCCCTAAGTGCCACTTTCAGTGGTGTGCCCCAGCAGACAAGCCTTAGTTTGACTTTCCCAAAATTCATTAGGCACGGGAAACCACTATAAATTCTCCACCCTCCAAACGGCCTGTTGCTATTTCTTGCTGTAGAGATAAATATGATAAGGGTAAATTCTGAGAAAATGCAAATCCGAAAGTTACCGCCCCTCCTCCGCACCAACTGCCATCCCCATCGAGATAACAAACAAACAAACAAACAAAACAAACAAACAATAAATACCCTCCCTCGGTCCTACACCCAGTTCAGGATTAAATATCATGATATCCTAAACAGGTTTCGAGTTTGTCCAGTTCGAGTAGATATTACCCTTCAAATGTATGCATATTATGCACAGTCTTATTAGAAAGCAGCTTGGAGCTCCAAATCCCCCAAAGGAACTATTTATGGCCACGCTTCAAGTACCACAAGAATACGTAAAGCAGCCTTACAACTATTATATTTACGCACCACTTCCCAGCTACCCAATATTTCCGTGCGAATCGTTATGTCGTGTGAAAGTGACTTCAGTTTATCCGCCACCAAACGTATGATGCTTTTGATTAATTGATAATTGACGCCATTTGACACTTCAGTGTTGCCTTCAGAAGTTTTCAAGTAAGAAACCATAAAATAAATGAGCCATGCTCTATCAAGAATATTAACCCACCCATCCCCCAACCTTATGACAGGCGTGCACAGTGATAGTAGTTGGGCAACATTATCAAACCCGCTTTGCCAGAAACTGAACAAACGACTATGATCAAAGGCAAGATAAAGTAGCAGTACTGCACGAGAGCAGTTCTCTTGCTTTGTCGAGTTCTAAATACGATGAGACTGAGCCATTTTGGGTTTGTAGTCGTGGTGCTGAGTACAGAACACAGTGGTTGCCGCATGAATTTAT